TGAGGGATGTGCTCTGCTCAGCTGCTGTTTGTCTGTTTGTGTGAGGAAGAGGAAGAGAGCAGCGGGGGTAAAAAATGTGTAAAAGGGTTATATTCATAAAGTTCCAGTTTCGGCACGCTTTCTAAAACGCCTCCTCACACAGAACGGCTCTTTTCTAACACACACATTCGTGCTGTTCACAGCTCTTGAGTTTGGCAGCAGCCTCGGTCGGCCCGCTTTCATTAGCATCTGTCTAGACACAATTTATTACCGACTGCTCATTCCTGTCCTCTTCCTTCCTATTTGTCTCATTGTGGGCCCGTTCTGCCGGACTTCAGACGAGCTGTGGCTGTGCACCGTGGGGCTCGAGTCCACCAGTCCCGTCTGTCACCTTCCTACTCCTCATGTTGGTGTCATTTTCTTTGCTTGTCCTCAAAGAGGAAGTCTGTCTGACCGCCTCGTCTGTCACTTCATCCATCCACCCGTTTCATGCGTGCATGCTTGCACGCGCGTGGGAGTCAGTGTGGGTGTTTGGGTTCTTCGAGCTGGGCTCGACCTTTTATTGAGGCCATGTGGCAGAAGTTCACAGGGCCAAACATCCCCGACCACAGCCAGCCTCACACTCCTCCTTACTGTCTGTAGCGCTGCCAGCTCCAGCCCAACTCAACGCGTTCGTGTTAGCAGGCAAACGAGAAAGAAAGCAGACTGTCTGCCGCTCTCGTGCATGCACACAAAATAATCAGGCCACCACCCAGTTTAAAGCCAATTTAATGGGCATATGGCTTTAGAATATTTCAACACAGCTGACCAGAAGCACCAAAACAGACTTAATGGTGATTGAATAAAGAGCATCCACCACCATTCATAAAATTTGTACGCATGATCAGTGAAGCTGCTTGACAAACATCTCCTAGATGTGTTTATCTGGGCCCTGATCGCTGACATACACCTTCAGGATGTGGTGAGACGACATTCCATAAAACAAACCGTCCTCCCTCTCTGTTCAGCTCCGTGGTGTCGGAGTGATTAACCTGATGCCTTAAAGTCCAAACAGTGGAGCAGACACACACATAACCCTAACCTCTCCTGCAGCAACCCAGTGTTGCATATTCGTGTGTGTGTGTGTGTGTGTGTGTGTGTGTGTGTGTGTGCGCGTGTGCGTGCGTGCGTGCGTGCAAGTATGAAGTTTGTTGTCCTGACTTGAAGAGAGCCCCTGAATCACCAGTGAGTCAGGGCTCCAGCGGCTCAAACACGGCTACTGTACTCACGCCATGCAGGTTCAAGCATGCTGTCTGATCGGGTTACTTTTACTCCGTTATTATAAACGTCACCGCTTTAAATGTGTTTAAATTACAAGTCTGTTTGCATTGTTTGTGTGTGCTAGATGTTTCACTTACTACAGGTGACCAGAGGTCACAAAAGCAATTTAAGGAGTTTGTTCAAATATACTTTTGAACAATAGATGTTTACTCAGTGACATAGTTGTTTTCTTAAGGTGTTTTTTCACCAGTTGACCTAATTTATTTCTTTTTAAACTGGATAATTCTTCTTGAGTTTTCTTTGGAATGCTTGGTTTTGAGGGGGTCATTGTTGCTCGTGTGCTGTGTTCCTGTTTAATGTTTCTTTTTGTAGCCTTCAGGAGATGGTTGGGTGTTCAAATCCCCCAAAACACAATAAATTGAGCTGGAGCAAACAAACTAGTCAATTAAGACTTGAAGAAATGTTGACATTTTAGGCCTTGAAGAGTGTGAGGCCCTTTTTGAGTTGGTTGCAGTTTGCTACTTTGCTACTAGATGGCTCTAAATTTGGATCATGTGTTCTTTAAGCCTCAAAGCTAGACAATTTACTCAGCTGTCCGTTAGCAAACCAGTTCATGTATTTATTGCTTTTGTTTTGTTGTACATGAGTAGCTAAAAGCTCTTCCTTGGTTTTTTATCCTCTCACCTGCTTTGGGTTTTGTTTAGGTTTGAACTCTTTCTAAATAAACTAATAATCACTTTTCTATCTGTCCTGTTTTTGGTCTCCGTATCTCCTCAAACTACTTAAGTTTCTTTTAAATGGTTGCTTTTTTTGGTCTGACTCGGGGCTTTTAGATTTTAGTCTCTTCCCATCTGAGCCTTTTCATCTCCTCTGAGCAGACTCTCGGTTGCTCCACCTCTTCACCTCCTTTCTGAGCTGCTTAATGTCAATGGGAGATGCTCCCACTGGTTAACCTTTACAGACGAGAGATAAACACCACTTTCTGCAGCTTCCTATATCGTACTCCATCTATCACTACCGCTCACAGACGCTCTCGCTCATCTGATCTTCATCTGCTGCTGTTTGAATACAAACACGTGTAATTTACGAGCCCTGATATCGATCAAATGAATGATTAATATCAGTATGTCTGACATTTTCTCGATGTGTCATAAAAGAATATATTCTCGCTTTGCCTGCCTTGTTATCGTTTAATGTTGCACCTCTTAGAAAACACCCACGCTCTTTCTAAAAACACACACACACGCACACACACAGCTGTGACCCTTCACGGAGCGTGCACTTTGACCCCTGGTTCAGAGGTTTGGGGCTTTAACCACAAGTCTGCAAGATCAGTGAAGGCTGAGCCAGCTATTCCTGCCTCATATTGACACAACTGTCGCACACTCAGCACAAGCCGATCCGTACACTGCTCTGCTTGTGTGTCGGTGCTCCCCCAGCGAGGGAGCATATGGAGGCTGAGTGAGCGTGGGCGTGTTCTGTGGTGCCGCCCTGCAGGTAGAAAATTAGATGGAGAACAGAACGTTCACCGGCACATGCAGGAACCGACAACAGTAGATAAATGTGCTCGGTTCTCTACTCATCCCTGTCTTTTGTATATTTAAGTCGATTCTTCAGTATTGTTCCAAAAGGTGCTTGTGGTCTTCTTGAGCCTATCCAGGCCTACAGTCATGTTGGCTTTGACACATGGAAGCAGACGTGGTTTAGCTTCCATCTAGCTGGCTCTGGGAGCATCGTCTCATCCAAACCAGTAGGATGTGTTGTGTGTTCTCAGTAAACAGGCTACTTTTAGCTCAGCATTTTGTTCACCCTAACACAGTTAGCAACATAACTAAGTGTGTGACTCATTGTGTGAGGCAGCCATGTTGGATTTAGAGGTCAGGGTTGGTGTTGGAGATTGATCAAGGGGCGGAGTCACTGGTTGCTCTAGAGTGTTCCGCCTCGCTGTCTGCAGTCTTTTCTGGGTCTCTTCTTTTCCACGGACTCTGTGGAACGTTCATCATCACAACTATGTCCTCCATTGTTGTCATGCTTTCATGTAAAAATCACCTCGTGTTACTTCTCAAACTCTGGTGGCAGCCCCGCAATGATGTCTAGAGTTGAGTTGAGCCAAGTTGAGCCACGCTGACTCGTGAAAGGGCAGTTATAGTGTTGCATACACTTACTCTTCAGCTCAGCTCTGTCAGCACCAATGGGTCAATCTCAATGCCACATCCTACATTGGTCACTCAATACACAACACAGTGGGGAAGATGGAGTCTCAGTCTGGTTTGGAAGATGATCATTAGGGTGCGGTGGTACGACTACAGTTAGTCCTAAATTCAGCTGCTAAGTTCTTTACGGGCGTGACACGTAGGGAGCATATTGCTCCTGTACTGGAAACCATGCATTGGCTTCCTGTGCTCTTCAGGGTGAAGTTCAAGGTGCTAACCCTAGTGTATAAGGCTCTTCAGGGAACTGCTCCTCCTTGCATGGCTAGCCTTTTGAACAATCGTGCTACATTACGAGCTCTTTGCTCGGCTGATAGAGAACTGTTGGTAGTTCCACGTTCTAAGTGCAACTGACGGGGAGATTGTCTCCAAGACTGTAGAATGAACTTCCATTAACCGTGCGTCAGCCGCCCTCCTTGCTGTTTTTTTAAATCTCGTTTGCAGACGCGTTTTTATGTCATGGCTTTCCAACAGCTGATGTCTTAGCATGGCTTCAGTGGCCTGCATGTAATGTGGTATTTTTTAATTAGGTTTTATGTTTTTATGACTTTTTTTACACTGTTTTACTTGTTGTTGGTTGTTGTATTGTCCAGCACATTGGGCGTCCGATAAGGTCGTGGAAGGGGCTTTACAAATAAAGTGAAATGAAAAACAAACCTATAAACATCAGGCAATCACCTATCCTAATGTCTTCCTGTGAAAGTTCACATAAAAAGTTGAGTTTTATGAGGCGTAACCAGTAGTTTTAGGCTGAATCTGATTTAAAGAAGGTTACATCTGGCCTCACATTGTACATGTCCCAGTTGCCTTTTGATCTGCAATAGTGATAAAATTAAGTTTTTCTACCATTTTTACAATAATAAAATTATTTATTCTTTTACACCAATGAATCATCCATTAAATATAGTTTTGTAAGAAAGAAAAGGTTTGTCTAACTTCTTTTCCATTTTCCACTTCTGTAAATTGTGTGTGTCTCCATATCCACTTTTGTGTTTGCCCACATCACAGGTGCTGTGTGTTCCCAGGGTGTGTGTGGAGGTGTGTATAGGGGGAGGGGAGGTGGGCCAGAGTACCACCTGTTCTCAGTCATGGAGCCCAGCACCGACACCGTGACTCACTGACCAGGCGGCACATGAGGAACACACACACACTCACACAGATGGCTGTCCACAGCTACGGTCCAGACCCTGCTGTGCATTTTTGGCTAACACACACCTCCACACACTGTGGTTTCACAAACCCAGTGACATACCCACAGCATCATGACCACGGAAGCAGCCAGCAAACATCACGCATCCGTACATAACCGTAAAGCTGCGGGACGATCCTTGAGCTCCAGAGAACACGGTGATCTTTTACCATGAGTCGGTTTCACATCATCACTCCGGTCACGCTGGTGTGTGTTTTGGCTACACATCTCTGTTGTCTCGGCGATCCTCGTGTTTAGGGAGTAAATCTTGTCATTTGAGTTTCTGTAGAAATATAGCAGAGCTGTGTGAGTTTTCCTGACATCTCCAAACTGATCTTTGTTCTTTTATGTTCTGGTTTCAGGAAGTCAGAGGTGTCATGGTGGCCTGTAGGTCCTGAGGACCCACCATCACCTGGTAAGACTCATTTAGACTTCTCTCCCTCTATCATCTCATCTTTTACAACTACACAGCACTAAAACCACAAATATAAAAGTGAAACTACCACAGTTTGTTCAGAATTTCAGAACTACTCGTGCCTAAGTTGTAAAATATTGTGCGTAGGTGAGAAAGGTTGAAGAGGGTGAGGTGTGAGTGAGAAATGGTCGCATCGCTTATCTTGACAGTCTCACTCATACACACTAACTATTCTTTTGAGCGGCGAGGTTCAAGTCCGGAAAGAGGCGTGTGCTTTCAAAGCAATCAAGTGTTTGCACTTCAAAGCCTGATTGGAATAAAGGAAGTCAATGATTAGCTTCTTCATTCACTGGTTTGCAAAGTTCAAATAATAAACCAGTCCAAGTGTCTGAGATAAAGAGGCGGTTTCTTGTGTTGATGGTAACAGACTACTTCTGACTCAGTTCAGTTTTGCTTCCACATCTGAAGTCTACATTTCCAAACAGCTGGTACAAGAGAGGCATCACAGCTCTTAGAGATTTTGCTCATTGGCTCCAAGTCTGATCCTCGCAGAATGATGAATGACCCACACTTGTATAGTGCCTCTCAGAGTAAGGACTCCAAAGCGCTTTACACTACAGTGTATCATTCATCCATTCACACACACATTCACACACTGATGGTGATGAGCTACGATGTAGCCACAGCTGCCCTGGGGCGCACTGACAGAAGCGAGGCTGCCGAGCACTGGCGCCACCGGTCCCTCCGACCACCACCAGCGCACTCAGTAGTGTGGATGTGTGGACCTTATTGAGGTAGGTTGTGTATTTTAAATGATCCTTTAGGTCAAGTTGACCAAACGTTGCCCGTAAACCCAAACCCCTGCAGTGAGGACTCGCTAATTCCTGTCCTTACAATCCAACATGGCTGCATGCACATGAACACCACAAGTCTGTTTTCCTGGAAGAGCTAGCTGTAGGTAGACGTCAGCGTGTCATGCTAGTTATAAAGTTCATAAATATGTATCTTCTTAGTTAGATTATAATGAAAGCCATGATAGTGTCTAGCTGTGTGTTTTGTGATGTTTCGGTTTCATGCTCTGAGTGGTTCTCAGCCCTGGTCCTGGAAGGTGTGTTTTTGTTGTTTCCCTGCTCCAACACAGTTCAATCACCAGCAGCTCTTCAGAAGCCTGTTAATCACCTGCTGATTAAGCAGGTGTGTTGAAACAGGGTTAAAACTAAAGTGTGCTGATACCGGCCCTCCAGGACGAGGATGGAGAACCACCATCTTCATGAAACCAAAAACCCTTCTATCTACAAAGAGTCTGGGGACTTTGGCAAAGCATCAGCTTAGATGTATAAATCCCATTTTGTAAAAGAAAATACTTTTCAAACTAAGAGCCAACCCTCACCCTTGAGACTGTGGTGTTGAATCTGTTAAAACTCAGTTTAGTTTGGCCTAAAACTAAAATGACAGTCTGCTGGGTTTCACCATTTATTGCCTGTTTAGCTCCTTTGCTGGTCACTGTGTGCTGCGTAACTTTACTATGGTGAGTATGTTGATCAGGATCGGTCCCCCTAGCTTATAGGGCCACAGCTCTGGATTAGCTGTCCCTACTGAGGACACCATCGGTACCTCTCTCCTTGAATGAGGACCTTAATTATCCGGGAAGAAGCTGCTCCGTTCAGGCTGCTTCATGTGGGCGTGATGAGCTCGTCTGACTGTCTGACCGCCTGTGTGGCTCTGTCTCCTCATGGTGGGAGTGTGTGAGTGTGTATCAGCGTGGAAGTGATTATTATCGTGTCTGTCGGTCTCTTGGTGTACCCAGAACCTGACTCATGTTGTGCCACACACACACACACACAGGCCTACACACAATCCTACATATCAGAGGCTGGGAAGTACAACCTGTACCAGGCCAATCTCCTCCTTCTGCTAAAAAACACACGCATTTAATCTCCCTACAGCCCCATACATTTTCTTTTCTCCAGAACTCCTGTTGTCTGAGCCTGGCCGGTACTGTGCCTTTGGATGTTGGTTTGAGTGGTAATGGCAGGGATTTCTGCGGTTTGCATCCACGGAAGAGCTGGGTATTGTATATATGTGAGAAGGGAGTTATCCTTATGGCTTTAATTACAGTTGCTAAACACACACACACACACACACACACACACACACACACACACACACAGAGAGAAAATATTGAGCCTTGAACGAAAGCAGGAGGAGCTTGACATTGAGTTTCTACATAAATGCTCCAGAGTGTTGATATCTAACCTGTGGTAGAGAGGTCTTTGAACACCCTGAGTTTGGAGAAGCAGAGATTAGTTTTACGCAGACAGATGAGCTTAAGTCACAGCAGGACCAGATGCAAAGTAGATTTCTGAAGTCTTATCCCTGTGACCTGTTGGCCAAGTCCTTACTAGAGCATGTTTTAGTGCTGAACACAAAAAATATATACAGTAAAAACATTTGGGAATTTAAAGTTTGATTGTTTTGTATAACTCTTATTTTAAGTCTTAATTTATTTAATTATACTAATAACTCAAATTGCACCAAATGAATAAAAATTTGTTTCATATAGGAAACATTTTTATTGCTCTTTTTGTGGGTGTTAACATTAAAGATTTTTTTTTTAATTATAATCTCAAAATAAAACCTAACAGCTCAGACAAGCTCTCTTTCATTACCACTTACACTGTTGTCAGTGTGAAATTCCACAATCACTCTGGAAAAAACAGTTTGGGAAACTTTGATCAGAAGTGTTGCACTATGTCCAGGAAATGCTACTGATAGCTGCTGCTAATGTCAGCAGCACATGACCATAGTGTCTTTTGTAAGTAATTAGGCTAATATAAAGGTTTATTAAATGGGATTTTGGGCATGGTATGACCATGATTTACATTAATTTCTAATTATCGATAACATTTAGTAACATACCCCTGCTATATTAATAACACACTTGTCTAAGTGACTCAGAAACAGTTGCATGAGATTAATGAATTAAGGCCACAGCATTAATATTAGTTTATTTTAATCAGTAACATCAACATAACGTGTAACTAATACAGCAAATGGTGACAACTAGCTGTGTGGTGCAACCGCTAAGAGACATAGCATTAGCTACCTGATGCTAACAGGTGCTAGTGAAGCTAATGTTTTGCCACAATGTGTAATTGATGTGTTGGAAATCACCAACCTACAGTAGTTTTGTTAACAGAACAAAGCTAGATAATTACCAAGTAAACACACTTAATGCACAACATCAGTGGAGATCAGGCTAAGTGTGTGTCACATCTAAAATGGTAAGGGTGGAAACAGTCCCTGAAACTTGACAATTGATTGAAGATGACAAAGTACACATTCTGGACAGAGAAGATAGATGGTTTGAGAGAGGAGTAAAGGGAACCATCTATGTCAAATGTGAAAAACCTACTTTAAACAGAGCAGGTTTCTTTTCAGCATCTATAATGCTGCTCTGAATCTGTTCGCCAAACAGTTTCTTTCTTTTCTTTTATTTCAGGCAATGGCACCTTTAAGTAAACAAGGTAAATATAATCATATTACACAAAGGAATAAACATACATGGCCATATTATTCTGCCCGAAAGGGAGTGGGAAGAAGAAAACTTATATAAACCCACCCCCAAATCCCCATAAAGTCAAAAAACAAGAGTTTTATTACTTTGTTTAACTACTTCTTTTTACATTTTTATAGCATGATGGCGTTACCACAGGCAGCAGGTAATTTACAATTTACATTTTTACATTATACAATTTTACCGTTGACCACAATTCATATCAACAATGGTAAAAGACAAATACCAACAATTTTAACAGACAATATAGCAACAATTGTAAGGAACCGTAAGCACATGTTTATGCTATGAGACAGAGTAAAATGACAGATTAATTTAAAGACCCTCATCTCTATATTTTGACCAGACCTGATGTTTATATAACAATTTAAATTGATGGACAGTTCGACATTGCTTTTTTTTTTTGTAAGTCCAGTTTGTTCCAGAGTTTCACTCCACATACAGACACATAAAAACATTTCTGAGTGGTTTGGGCTCTCGGCAATAAAAAATATCCAAATCCTCTCAAGGTATAAACTCGCTCTGGAGTTATAAAAAATCGTTGAAGGTTAGATGGTAATAATTTATTGAATGCTTTATATAGAACTATTAATGTATTATATTTTACGAGATCAACAAATTTTAGCAGCTTTGACTGTGTAAATAAATTATGGGTATGTTCCAAAAAACCAACCTTGTGGATGATTCGCACTGCTCTTTTCTGTAATATGATCAAAGGATGTAATGTGTTCTGGTAAGTATTACCCCACACTTAAACACAATACGTAAGGTATGGTAGTACCAAGGTGCAGTATAAAATACTGAGTGCGTTTCCATCAAGGTATAGTTTTGCTTTGTTTATAATTGAGAGGCTTTTGGAGATTTTTGTCTTTATGTGTCTTACATGGGTTTTCCAACATGGGGTTTCCATGACAATTTACTATCAATTACTACTCCCAAAAACTTAGTATCATTTACTATTTCAATTTGGATACCATTAATACTTATTTTCTGTTCAGACATTGTGTTGCAATTTCCAAACATCATTATCTTTGTTTTATTTATATTCAAGGATAATTTATTTACGTCCATCCACTTTTTTATTCATTCAAATCATTGTTCATTGTTAACCGTATTTACAAGCTCATTATAATCATCATTACTGTAAAGTATTGTCGTGTCATCTGCAAATAGTATGAGTTTCATTATATTAGATGTGTTAAAAATGGCATTCATATATATATATATATATATATATATATATATATATATATATATATATATATATATATATTAAATAGTGTTGGCCCCAACACAGACCCCTGGGGGACACCACAAGTAATGTCATTAGTGTCTGATAAATACTGACCCATTTTTACAAACTGTACCCTCCCTGTTAAGTAACTTTTGATCCAGTCCCCACCCAGCCCCCTAATTCCATATC